CAAAGGTCTTATATATACTGTTCATTACAATTTTCTCAGTTGATTCCTGCACTCATTTGAGATCATTTCCACACTGCCACGTAAGGCTGCACGATATGGCCAAACAATCTAGGCCTTATTTTTAACCAAATGTTGAAATTGCGATTTGACTTGTGATTTAGAGCAAAACACTTGGTGAACTGTTGGAATCACGGAAATATAATGATTATTCAAATTCTATAGTTAGAATATAATAGTGGGCACTTTGAATACAGCGTTGACATGACAACCAATGATAATGCCAGGGAGGGGTTATTGTGCCAGGGTAGGAACCAAAGTGTTGACAAGTGTTTCCTAGGGGACTCTATAATCGTTGGCTACATTGAATGTTCTCTCTTAGCTACTTCATGTATCCAACATATTCTTGCTTTGTGTTTTCCTCTTTGATTTAGAAGATAGTGTGCAGATGTAGTTCTCCACCATCCCTGGTATTATCAGCCTGTATAGCTGGTTACATTGGCTCTGACTCAGTACATGTATTGGCTAGTTAGCGATTAGCATTAGCGGCTAACAAGATTTAGGCACAACTTACTAAGAAAACACAAACTAGCTGTTTACAGATGTAAGAACCACAAACAAAAAGTCAAATTATAGAATGCTAGTGGATTTATATTAAGAAGCAAAGTGAAAACAACATTGTTGTCATCAACATTGTTTTATGTGCTGCATTGACCATGTAGAGTCTCATGGTAGAGGAACCACCATGTGCTGCATTGACCATGTAGAGTCTCATGGTAGAGGAACCACCATGTGCTGCATTGACCATGTAGAGTCTCATGGTAGAGGAACCACTGCATTGACCATGTAGAGTCTCATGGTAGAGGAAACAACACATGCTGCATTGACCATGTAGAGTCTCATGGTAGAGGAAACACCATGTGCTGCATTGACCATGTAGAGTCTCATGGTAGAGGAAACAACACATGCTGCATTGACCATGTAGAGTCTCATGGTAGAGGGAACAACACATGCTGCATTGACCATGCAGAGTCTCATGGTAGAGGAAACAACACATGCTGCATTGACCATGTAGAGTCTCATGGTAGAGGAAACACCATGTGCTGCATTGACCATGTAGAGTCTCATGGTAGAGGAAACACCATGTGCTGCATTGACCATGTAGAGTCTCATGGTAGAGGAAACACCATGTGCTGCATTGACCAGAGTCTCATGGTAGAGGAACCACCATGTGCTGCATTGACCATGTAGAGTCTCATGGTAGAGGAACCACCATGTGCTGCATTGACCAGAGTCTCATGGTAGAGGAACCACCATGTGCTGCATTGACCATGTAGAGTCTCATGGTAGAGGAACCACCATGTGCTGCATTGACCATGTAAAGTCTCATGGTAGAGGAACCACCATGTGCTGCATTGACCATGTAGAGTCTCATGGTAGAGGAAACACCATGTGCTGCATTGACCATGTAGAGTCTCATGGTAGAGGAAACACCATGTGCTGCATTGACCATGCAGAGTCTCATGGTAGAGGAAACACCATGTGCTGCATTGACCATGTAGAGTCTCATGGTAGAGGAAACACCATGTGCTGCATTGACCATGTAGAGTCTCATGGTAGAGGAAACACCATGTGCTGCATTGACCATGTAGAGTCTCATGGTAGAGGAAACACCATGTGCTGCATTGACCATGCAGAGTCTCATGGTAGAGGAAACAACACATGCTGCATTGACCATGTAGAGTCTCATGGTAGAGGGAACAACACATGCTGCATTGACCATGTAGAGTCTCATGGTAGAGGAAACACCATGTGCTGCATTGACCATGTAGAGTCTCATGGTAGAGGAACCACCATGTGCTGCATTGACCATGTAGAGTCTCATGGTAGAGGAAACAACACATGCTGCATTGACCATGTAGAGTCTCATGGTAGAGGAACCACCATGTGCTGCATTGACCATGTAGAATCTCATGGTAGAGGAACCACCATGTGCTGCATTGACCATGTAGAGTCTCATGGTAGAGGAAACACCATGTGCTGCATTGACCATGTAGAATCTCATGGTAGAGGAACCACCATGTGCTGCATTGACCATGTAGAGTCTCATGGTAGAGGAACCACCATGTGCTGCATTGACCAGAGTCTCATGGTAGAGGAACCACCATGTGCTGCATTGACCATGTAGAGTCTCATGGTAGAGGAAACAACACATGTGCGTCATTGACCATGTAGAGACTGAACGCAAGAGTCTCATGCTAGAGAGTTTCCAGCAGACCACCATAGTCCCTGTGCCCAAGGACTCTAAGATAACCTGCCTAAATGACTACCGCCCCGTAGCACTGACGTCTGTAGCCATGAAGTGCTTTGAAAGGCTGGTCATGGCTCACATCAACAACATTATCCCCAAAACCCTAGACCCACTCCAATTTGCATACCGCCCCAACAGATCCACAGATGATGCAATCTCTATTGCACTCCACACTGCCCTTTCACACCTGGACAAGAGGAACACCTACGTGAGAATGCTATTCATTGAATACAGCTCAGCGTTCAACAACATAGTGCCCTCAAATCTCATAACTAAGCTAAGGATCATGGGACTAAACACCTTCCTCTGCAACTGGATCCTGGACTTCCTGACGGTCCGCCCCCAGGTGGTAAGGGTAGGTAACAACACATCTGCCACACTGATCCTCAACACGGGGGCCCCTCAGGGGTGCGTGCTCAGTCCCCTCCTGTACTCTCTGTTCACCCATGACTGCATGGCCATGCACGACTCCAACACCATCATTAAGTTTGCCGACGACACAACAGTGGTAGGCCTGATCACCGACAACGATGAGACAGCCTATAGGGAGGAGGTCAGAGACCTGGCCGTGTGGTGCCAGGATAACAACCTCTCCCTCAACGTGACCAAGACAAAGGAGATGATTGTGGACTACAGGAAAAAAAAGAGGACTGAGCACGCCCCCATTCTCATCGACGGGGCTGTAGTGGAACAGGTTGAGAGCTTCAAGTTCCTTGGTGTCCACATCACCAACGAACTATCATGGTCCAAACACACCAAGACAGTCGTGAAGAGGGCACGACAAAGCCTATTCCCCCTCAGGAGACTAAAAAGATTTGGCATGGGTCCTCAGATCCTCAAAAAGTTATACAGCTGCACCATCGAGAGCATCCTGACTGGTTGCATCACCGCCTGGTATGGCAACTGCTTGGCCTCGACCGCAAGGCACTACAGAGGGTAGTGCGTACGGCCCAGTACATCACTGGGGCAAAGCTTCCTGCCATCCAGGACCTCTATACCAGGCGGTGTCAGAGGAAGGCCCTCAAAATTGTCAAAGACTCCAGCCACCCTAGTCATAGACTGTTCTCTCTGCTACCGCACGGCAAGCGGTACCGGAGTGCCAAGTCTAGGTCCAAAAGACTTCTCAACAGCTTCTACCCCCAAGCCATAAGACTCCTGAACAGCTAATCATGGCTACCCGGACTATTTGCACTGCCCCCCCACCCCATCTTTTTACGCTGCTGCTACTCTGTTAATTATTTATGCATAGTCACTTTAACTCTACCCACATGTACATATTACCTCAACTACCTCAACTAGCCGTTGCCCCGGCACATTGACTCTGCACCGGTACCCCCCTGTATATATAGCCTCCCTACTGTTATTTTATTTTACTTCTGCTCTTTTTTTCTCAACACTTTTTTCTTGTTGTTTTATTCTACTTTTTTATTTAAAATAAATGCACTGTTGGTTAAGGGCTGTAAGTAAGCAGTTCACTGTAATGTCTGCACCTGTTGTATTCAGTGCATGTGGCCAATAACATTTGATTTGATTTGAACAACAAATGTGCACCTTGAGTGACAGGGGGCGGGGCGAAGTCTGTGTGGAAGCTGCATGGAGAGAGAGGACTCAAGTAGCTAAGGAAACTATAAAAATGGATGTTACCCACAGCGTTTCACATTTAACAAACCAAACATTCAAATACCGTTCTAGAAGGTAAAGTAAAAACCCAAACCGGTCCGTGCATCAATACCGGTATATGGTAAAATACGGTACACCGCCCAGCCCCATACTGTGGAGCCCCGAGCACCCGCCAACATGGCTGGTAAAACAGACAACTTAGTATTGCCTAAATCTACCCACATTTGGCAGGTGTTAATTTTAGGCCCTGATCCTGGTGGTAACAGAACATGGTTCATATGGACAGAATCAGATCTAATCCAAAAGGAGTCATTTCAAGAGAAGTGTAGGAAACCAAAGCATTGCCAGATGAGTGACTGGATCTTACAGCGAAGCTTCACCATGTTTAAAAACATCAACTACAGTACTGACCTGCGCCGCTCCTCTCTCCATTTAGAGATCTCCTCTTCAGTGTCCAGCTTGATTCTCTTTGCTCCTGGGGCATGGTTCTATAGGAGATGGTACAGGAGGAGTTAGGTTAATGTATGTTTTATACAGGAGGAGTTAGGGTAATGTATGTTCTATACAGGAGGAGTCAGGGTAATGTATGTTCTATACAGGAGGAGTCAGGGTAATGTATGTTCTATACAGGAGGAGTCAGGGTAATGTATGTTCTATACAGGAGGAGTCAGGGTAATGTATGTTTTATACAGGAGGAGTTAGGGTAATGTATGTTCTATACAGGAGGAGTTAGGGTAATGTATGTTCTATACAGGAGGAGTTAGGGTAATGTATGTTCTATACAGGAGGAGTTAGGGTAATGTATGTTTTATACAGGAGGAGTTAGGGTAATGTATGTTCTATACAGGAGGAGTCAGGGTAATGTATGTTTTATACAGGAGGAGTTAGGGTAATGTATGTTCTATACAGGAGGAGTTAGGGTAATGTATGTTTTATACAGGAGGAGTCAGGTTAATGTATGACTCTATACAGATGAAGAGGGGTCTATGGTCTAGGTTCATTATGACTCTATACAGATGAAGAGGGGGTCTATGGTCTAGGTTCATTATGACTCTATACAGATGAAGAGGGGGTCTATGGTCTAGGTTCATTATGACTCTATACAGATGAAGAGGGGGTCTATGGTCTAGGTTCATTATGAGTCTATCCAGATGAAGAGGGGGTCTATGGTCTAGGTTCATTATGACTCTATCCAGATGAAGAGGGGGTCTATGGTCTAGGTTCATTATGACTCTATCCAGATGAAGAGGGGGTCTATGGTCTAGGTTCATTATGACTCTATCCAGATGAAGAGGGGGTCTATGGTCTAGGTTCATTATGACTATCCAGATGAAGAGGGGGTCAGGTTAGGGTTAATGGGGGTCAGGTGAGGGTTAATGGGGGTCAGGTGAGGGTTAATGGGGGTCAGGTGAGGGTTAATGGGGGTCAGGTTAGGGTTAATGGGGGTCAGGTTAGGGTTAATGGGGGTCAGGTTAGGGTTAATGGGGTCAGGTTAGGGGTTAATGGGGGTCAGGTTAGGGGTTAATGGGGGTCAGGTTAGGGTTAATGGGGGTCAGGTTAGGGTTAATGGGGGTCAGGTTAGGGGTTAATGGGGGTTAGGGTTAATGGGGGTTACTACTTACATTCTTCCAGTGAATGTTGACCAGCTTCTCATGAGCAGTGAAGCTGCAGTCTTCAACCGAGCACTAGAAAACAGAAGTCTCTTTTACTAAAGGTAGACTAACACAATGCTTTGCCTGTTTTACTAAAGGTAGACTAACACAATGCTTTGCCTGTTTTACTAAAGGTAGACTAACACAATGCTTTGCCTGTTTTACTAAAGGTAGACTAACACAATGCTTTGCCTGTTTTACTAAAGGTAGACTAACACAATGCTTTGCCTGTTTTACTAAAGGTAGACTAACACAATGCTTTGCCTGTTTTACTAAAGGTAGACTAACACAATGCTTTGCCTGTTTTACTAAAGGTAGACTAACACAATGCTTTGCCTGTTTTACTAAAGGTAGACTAACACAATGCTTTGCCTGTTTTACTAAAGGTAGACTAACACAATGCTTTGCCTGTTTTACTAAAGGTAGACTAACACAATGCTTTGCCTGTTTTACTAAAGGTAGACTAACACAATGCTTTTCCTGTTTTACTAAAGGTAGACTAACACAATGCTTTGCCTGTTTTACTAAAGGTAGACTAACACAATGCTTTGCCTGTTTTACTAAAGGTAGACTAACACAATGCTTTTCCTGTTTTACTAAAGGTAGACTAACACAATGCTTTGCCTGTTTTACTAAAGGTAGACTAACACAATGCTTTGCCTGTTTTACTTAAGGTAGACTAACACAATGCTTTTCCTGTTTTACTAAAGGCAGACTAACACAATGCTTTGCCTGTTTTACTAAAGGTAGACTAACACAATGCTTTGCCTGTTTTACTAAAGGTAGACTAACACAATGCTTTGCCTGTTTTACTAAAGGTAGACTAACACAATGCTTTGCCTGTTTTACTAAAGGCAGACCAACACAATGCTTTGCCTGTTTTACTAAAGGTAGACTAACACAATGCTTTGCCTGTTTTACTAAAGGTAGACTAACACAATGCTTTGCCTGTTTTACTAAAGGTAGACTAACACAATGCTTTGCCTGTTTTACTAAAGGCAGACCAACACAATGCTTTGCCTGTTTTACTAAAGGTAGACTAACACAATGCTTTGCCTGTTTTACTAAAGGTAGACTAACACAATGCTTTGCCTGTTTTACTAAAGGTAGACTAACACAATGCTTTGCCTGTTTTACTAAAGGTAGACTAACACAATGCTTTTCCTGTTTTACTAAAGGTAGACTAACACAATGCTTTGCCTGTTTTACTAAAGGTAGACTAACACAATGCTTTGCCTGTTTTACTAGAGGTAGACTAACACAATGCTTTTCCTGTTTTACTAAAGGTAGAATAACACAATGCTTTTCCTGTTTTACTAAAGGTAGACTAACACAATGCTTTGCCTGTTTTACTAAAGGTAGACTAACACAATGCTTTGCCTGTTTTACTAAAGGTAGACTAACACAATGCTTTTCCTGTTTTACTAAAGGCAGACCAACACAATGCTTTGCCTGTTTTACTAAAGGTAGACTAACACAATGCTTTGCCTGTTTTACTAAAGGTAGACTAACACAATGCTTTGCCTGTTTTACTAAAGGTAGACTAACACAATGCTTTGCCTGTTTTACTAAAGGCAGACCAACACAATGCTTTGCCTGTTTTACTAAAGGTAGACTAACACAATGCTTTGCCTGTTTTACTAAAGGCAGACTAACACAATGCTTTTCCTGTTTTACTAAAGGTAGACTAACACAATGCTTTGCCTGTTTTACTAAAGGCAGACCAACACAATGCTTTGCCTGTTTTACTAAAGGTAGACTAACACAATGCTTTGCCTGTTTTACTAAAGGTAGACTAACACAATGCTTTGCCTGTTTTACTAAAGGTAGACTAACACAATGCTTTTCCTGTTTTACTAAAGGTAGACTAACAATGGAAACTTGGAACCCTGATGACCTAGTATGATGTCATCACGTTCAGTTCATCACCTCAGAATCATTGGATCATGAGAATCCGTTACCTTGACATGTTGAGAGACGTGTTCGTCGTACTTGTCTTGGTTTTTGAAGCCTCTGTCACACGGGTCACAGAAATGTGAAAAAACTGGTTCTTTTTTATTTTTCTGCTGGAAAGAAAAACATTTGAACCATTACAGTCAAATCAGTATCCCAATTGGAGTGTTACACTGTAAGACAGGGCTGGACAACTGATGGGAGCGGGGGCCACAAAGAAACACAACTCATCATGAGGGGCTATAGAGGGTCTGTGTAGCTACATCCATACACCCCCACACACCTTGCGAGCAAAACATTTTAGCGGCCCCCTCATGACAGGAGAAAAAAAATTTACGTTTTAAAGTTCATTTCCTGCAATTCTGCCCATTTTGCCCTGGGGCGGAGAGAATTCTGCCCATTTTGCCCTGGGGCGGAGAGAACTCTGCCCATTTTGCCCTGGGGCGGAGAGAACTCTGCCCATTTTGCCCTGGGGCGGAGAGAATTCTGCCCATTTTGCCCTGGGGCGGAGAGAACTCTGCCCATTTTGCCCTGGGGCGGAGAGAACTCTGCCCATTTTGCCCTGGGGCGGAGAGAACTCTGCCCATTTTGCCCTGGGGCGGAGAGAACTCTGCCCATTTTGCCCTGGGGCGGAGAGAACTCTGCCCATTTTGCCCTGGGGCGGAGAGAATTCTGCCCATTTTGCCCTGGGGCGGAGAGAATTCTGCCCATTTTGCCCTGGGGCGGAGAGAATTCTGCCCATTTTGCCCTGGGGCGGAGAGAATTCTGCCCATTTTGCCCTGGGGCGGAGAGAATTCTGCCCATTTTGCCCTGGGGCGGAGAGAATTCTGCCCATTTTGCCCTGGGGCGGAGAGAATTCTGCAATTTTTCACTAATTTCATTCAATTCTATTCATTTTGCGATAGGGTGGAGGCGAATGCTTGCAGTTTTTAATATGATAACTGATGATCAATGGGCCCCACCCTGGTCGGAAATTCAACCATGCTTTAAATAACTGGCCGCTAGACTGACCAATCTAAGACAATGTAGCTGACGCCAGTCTCCAGACCTTAATCCCATAGAAAATCTATGGAGGGAGCTGAAGGTTCGAGTTGCCAAACGTCAGCCTCGAAACCTTAATTACTTGGAGAAGATCTGCAAAGAGGAGTGGGACAAAATCCCTCCTGAGATGTGTGCAAACCTGGTGGCCAACTACAAGAAATGTCTGACCTCTGTGATTGCCAACAAGGGTTTTGCCACCAAGTACTAAGTCATGTTTTGCAGAGGGGTCAAATACTTATTTCCCTCATTAAAATGCAAATCAATGTATAACATTTTTGACATGCGTTTTTCTGGATTTTTGTTGTTATTCAGTCTCTCACTGTTCAAATAAACATACATTTAAAATTATAGACTGATAATGTCGTTGTCAGTGGGCAAATGTACAAAATCAGCAGGGGATCAAATACTTTTTTCCCCTCACTGCACCTGCCGCCCCATCTTCCTGTTTATGTTGTATGTACAGGTAACTGCCAAAATAAAGGAAACAGCAACACAGTGTCTTAAAGGGAAACGTCACCAAATAAAGGAAACAGCAACAGTGTCTTAAAGGGAAACGTCACCACTTCATATTCATCATCTGCAGCAACACCCCAACACAGTGTCTTAAAGGGAAATGTCACCACTTCATATTCATCATCTGCAGCAACACCCCAACACAGTGTCTTAAAGGGAAACTTCACCACTTCATATTCATCATCTGCAGCAGCACCCCAACACAGTGTCTTAAAGGGAAACTTCACCACTTCATATTCATCATCTGCAGCAACACCCCAACACAGTGTCTTAAAGGGAAACGTCACCACTTCATATTCATCATCTGCAGCAACACCCCAACACAGTGTCTTAAAGGGAAACGTCACCACTTCATATTCATCATCTCCAGCAGCACCTCAACACAGTGTCTTAAAGGGAAACGTCACCACTTCATATTCATCATCTGCAGCAGCACCCCAACACAGTGTCTTAAAGGGAAACGTCACCACTTCATATTCATCATCTGCAGCAACACCCCAACATGTGAAAATGGAGCGTTTCTATGTTTTGGAGTAAAACAGAGGAAGATAAGTGTTTCCAATGACATCATCATTAATAGACAATTAGTAGGCAAGGCCTCATAATTGGTTCAAATCAAAACGATGTACACCGACGTCGTCATTGGAAACACCCATCTTCCTCAATCTGTTTTACTAAAAAAACATAGAAAACGCACCATTTTCTCATTGTTGATGTTGGGGTGGTGCTGGAGATCATGAATAGGAAGTAACATTTTCCATTCCCTTTAATTGGGCGTTGGGCCACCAGCGGTCAGAACTGCTTCAAGGCACCTTGGGACAGATTCTACAAGCGTCTGGAACTCTGTTGGAGGGAGGCGACACCATTGTTCCATGAGAAACTCCATCGTTTGGTGTTTTGTTGATGGAAAACAAAATGGATGTGGGTACGAAGACCCACGAGCCACTGGGACCCTCATGATGACTTCCTTTTTTTGTGGCTGCCATCCCCATCAAAGTTGCCCATGTGTTGATGAAGGTGTAGAAGGGGAGGAGACTAAGGGGAGGAGACTAAGGGGAGGAGACTAAGGGGAGGAGACTAAGGGGAGGAGACTAAGGGGAGGAGACTAAGGGGAGGAGACTAAGGGGAGGAGACTAAGGGGAGGAGACAGGTTAAATAAGGATTTTTAAGCCTTGAGACATGGATTGTGTATGTGTGCCATTCAGAGGGTGAATGGGCAAGACAAAATATTTAACTGTAGTTGAACGGGGTATGGTAGTCGGTGCCAGGCTTGTGTCAAGAACTGCAACGCTGCTGGGTTTTTCACACTCAACGGTTTCCTGTGTGTATCAAGAATTGTCCACCACCCAAAGAACATCCATCCAACTTGACAACTGTGGGAAGCATTGAGTCAACATGGGCCAGCATCCCTGTGGAACGCTTTCGACACCTTGTAGAGTCCATGCCCTGACAAATTGAGGCTGTTCTGAGGGCAAAGAGGGGGTGCAATTCAATATTAGAAAGGAGTTGTTAATGTTTTTCCATTACTTTGGCAGTTACCTGTAGATATATCAGAGACCTGGCTTTTAGTTTGATAGTGGATGTACTACCTTTTTCCACTGGTTGTTGGGAGGACCATAGTCCTGCCTTCCGTTTCCATGTCCACGATGGAAGTTCCGGCCTGTGGGTCAATGGTCAATACCACAATATTATGACATGTAGCCTACAGCTGGGTTCAGTTCAGTCATCACCAATCTGACACTTCTGTTCTGATAATGATGCAGGAGAAGTGCTTTCAAGTCAAGTTTAGTCAGACCTAGCCCTGAACCAGCATCTCCTCTGCCCAGATATTGGTTCAACCTAGCCCAAATTATAGACCTCCATTATACTGGGCCACGCTTAGTCGGCCCTACCCCACTAAAATGCGTCATGGGAGTTTCCTTCAACAGACCTGACAGTAACAGTAGTCCACCAGGGGCTCTCAGCCAGGCCGCTACTAGTACCAGAACTCTCCTTGTTAGTATTAGTATAGTACTCACCATATGAGCCTCTGGGTCGACCGGGTTCGGGGCCGCCGTTCCAGTGTTCTCCCTGGCCGTTGTAGCTCCACGGCTCGGATGGCGGCTCGTACCAGTTCCACATACTGGGCTGGAAGTTGCTAGGAGGTGGATGGAACGTCGGCGGTCTCACCATCGAACCTGGAGGAGAGCCAAAGTTCGGCGGAGGGTAGCTTCCAAAATCATTCATGATGTAGGTGGCGCCTCTTCTTCAACGTTGTGTCGGTTCAATTCGTTTGTATAAATGTTTGTCTAGGTACGACCACGGAGGTATAATAAGAACCGCTACGACACGTGTATTTTTCTGCTCGAGCTGCCGCGTTCACGTGCTAGTCGGAACTAGAAAACTCTGAAATGTCCGACTTTCTATGTAGGTACTGGTTGTAGTTATATACACGTGCCGCTTTCAACCAGTCATCAAGTCGGACATTTCTGAATTTCCTACTTCCGACTAGAACGTGAACGCGACAAGTTTAGATGCGCAAAGCATGTTCGCCAGACTGAACGTCATATCCGTTAGTTTACACCAACCAAAATCAATTCAATAATATAATTATTTGAATTAACAACGATTTAGGCACAATGAAAATGTACCATGATTCATGTAGTTTATGAAAACTAACTCATGTAGAATTATATCTGCCCTATGTACATAGTCATTGAACACTGGTCACTTTAATAAGGTTCACATACTGTTTTACCCACTTAATATGTATATACAGTATCCTATTCAAGGCTCATCCGATAGAGCCCCACAGTGGAGGTGTCATTGCTTGTCCATATATGTATATATTCTTAAATTCCATTCCTTACATAGATTTGTGTGTATTGGGTATATGTTGTGAAATTGTTAGATATTACTGCACTGTCGGAGCTAGAAGAACAAGCATTTCGCTACACCCGCAATAAACATCTGCTAAACACGTGTATGTGACAAATAAATGTGATGATTTGATTTGATTATACATATAAAACCTAGTGGTCAAAGAGGGAAATGGTTCCAATCGTTTTTCCACCATTCATTTTTCCCATAAGGGATTTTAGAAACACTTAAAATAAGGGCTGTGTTTCTTGAAAGCTTACCCTGACGTGACGTTTTCATAACCATCTAAATCTCTCTCGGACAAGGTGACTAATATCAATATATACTGCTCAATTTACTCTCAGATTCGAAACTGCTAATTATCATCAAAGTAGACATCATGCAAAACTACAAATCCCTGCAAGCTCCTGCACATTATCTCTAGCTGACACCTTTGCTAACAGGTATTGTGTCAATTTAAAACTTGCACAAGACAGTTCACAGAATTGTCCATTTAAAAATGTTTAGCCAATGTATTAATTACTACATTTAGCTAACATTAGATAGTTAATCCAGAGATTCTTACATTTGCCTCGATTTGGCAGTCTCGTCCAGATCATCATGGCATTTGTAGTTCTTTATGATAGCCACATTAGCAGCTAATTAATTAAATACAGGCGAATATATTGATAAAAGTAATCTTGTCCGAGAGAGATTTACACGGTAATCAAAACGTCACGCCAGGGTAAGCCTACACGAAACACAGCCCTTATTTTAAGAGTTTCTAAAATCCCTTATGGAAAAAATGAATGGTGGAAAAACGATTGGAACCATTTCCATGTTTGACCGCTAGGTTTTATGGGTATTATGACTCATACTGTGGTACTCTATATAACTACTGCTGTACACACCTTTTCTATTCATATACTGCACCATCATATACATACACTACCAGTCAAAGGTTTGGACACACCTCCTCATTCAAGGGTTTTTCTTTATTTTTTACTATTTTCTACATTGTCGAATAACAGTGAAGACATCAACACTGTGAAATAACACATATGGAATCATGTAGTAACCCATAAAGTGTTAAACAAATCAAAATTCTTTAAATAGCCATCCTTTGCCTTGACGGTCCTCATGAGAGCCAGTTTCATCATAGCGCTTGATGGTTTATGCGACTGCACTTGAAGAAACGTTCAAAGTTCTTGAAATGTTCCGTATTGACTGACCTTCATGTCTTAAAGTAATGATGGACTGTCATTTCTCTTTGCTTATTTGAGATGTGTAAGGGCTATTTTACCAAGAAGGAGAGTGATGGAGTGCTGCATCAGATGGCAATGCAAATAGTCCGGGTAGGCATGATTAGCTGTTCAGGAGTCTTATGGCTTGGGGGTAGAAGCTGTTAAGAAGCCTTTTGGACCTAGACTTGGCTCTCCGGTACCGCTTGCCGTGCGATAGCAGAGAGAACAGTCTATGACTAGGGTGGCTGGAGTCTTTGACAAATTTTAGGGCCTTCCTCTGACACCGCCTGGTATAGAGGTCCTGGATGGCAGGAAGCTTGGCCTCAGTGGTGTACAGGGCCGTACGCACTACCCTCTGTAGTGCCTTGCGGTCGGAGACCGAGCAGTTGCCATACCAGGCGGTGATGCAACCAGTCAGGATGCTCTCGATGGTGCAGCTGTATAACTTTTTGAGGATCTGAGGACCCATGCCAAATCTTTTCAGTCTCCTGAGGGGGAATAGGCTTTGTCGTGCCCTCTTCACGACTGTCTTGGTGTGTTTGGACCATGATAGTTTGTTGGTGATGTGGACACCAAGGAACTTGAAGCTCTCAACCTGTTCCACTACAGCCCTGTCGATGAGAATGGGGGTGTGGTCAGTCCTCTTTTTTTCCCTGTAGTAATAATATAATAGTCCACAATCATCTCCTTTGTCTTGATCACGTTGAGGGAGAGGTTGTTATCCTGGCACCACACGGCCAGGTCTCGGACCTCCTCCCTATAGGCTGTCTCATCGTTGATGTTGAACGCTGAGCTGTAGTCAATGAATAGCATTCTCACGTAGGTGTGCCTCTTGTCCAGGCGGGAAAGGGCAGTGTGGAGTGCAATAGAGATTGCATCATCTGGGGATCTGTTGGGGCGGTATGCAAATTGGAGTGGGTCTAGGGTTTCTGGGATAATGGTGTTGATGTGAGCCATGACCAGCCTTTCAAAGCACTTCATGGCTACAGACGTGAGTGCTACGGGTCGGTAGTCATTTAGGCATGTTATCTTAGTGTCCTTGGGCACGGGGACTATGGTGGTCTGCTTGAAACATGTTGGTATTACAGACTCAGTCAGGGACATGTTGAAAATGTCAGTGAAGACACTTGCCAGTTGGTCAGCGCATGCTCGGAGTACACGTCTTGGTAATCCGTCTGCATCCGTCTGGCCTTGTGAATGTTGACCTGCTTAAAAGTCTTATTCATGTCGGATACGGAGAGCGTGATCACATAGTCATCTGGAACAGCTGGTGCTCTCATGCATGCTTCAGTGTTGCTTGCCTCGAAGCGAGCATAGAAGTGGTTTAGCTCGTCTGGTAGGCTTGTGTCACTGGGAAGCTCGCGGCTGTGCTTCCCTTTGTAGTCTGTAATAGTTTTCAAGCCCTGCCACATCCGACGAGCGTCAGAGCCGGTGTAGTACGATTCAATCTTAGTCCTGTATTGATGTTCGTCAAACAGGCAAAGAGATTCCATATGTGTTATTTTATAGTTTTGATGTCTTCAATATTATTCTACAATGTAGAAAATATTAAAAATAAAGAAAAACCCTTGAATGAGTAGGTGTGTCCAAACTTTTGACTGGTACTGTATATATTTATATTCCGGACTAGGTAGCCTAGTGGTTAGTGTTGGGCCATTAACCGAAAGGTCTCTGTTTTGAATACCAAGCCAACAAGGTAAAAACCTGTCGATGTGCCCTTGAGCAAGGCATTTAACCCTAATTTGCTCCAGGGTCGCCGTACTACTATAGCTGAGCCTGTAAAACAACTAACCAGTGTATGTGACAGCAAACATATATACTTAAAAAAAAAAAAAACGTAATTCCTGTCTTATTTCGGGGGAATTTGCGCGTATTGTTTTGTATTGCTAGGTATTACTGTATGGAACATAAGCATTTCTCTACACCCGCGATAACAACTGCTAAATATGTGTTGGCGGTACGCGACCTAAATGTTATTGTCTGATTTGTTTATGCCTCCAAAAGGTTCATTCTGCAACTTCTCGCGATGTTGAAGACAGAACGTGTTTCCGGGTGGTTCATTCTGCAACTTCTCGCGATGTTGAAGAGAGAACGTGTTTCCTGGGTGCTTCATTCTGCAACTTCTCGCGATGTTGAAGAGAGAACGTGTTTACGGGTGGTTCATTCTGCAACTTCTCGCGATGTTGAAGAGAGAACGTGTTTCCGGGGTGGTTCATTCTGCAACTTCTCGCGATGTTGAAGAGAGAACGTGTTTCCGGGGTGGTTCATTCTGCCACTTCTCGCGATGTTGAAGAGAGAACGTGTTTCCGGGTGCAGCACACAGATCACCGCGTGCAGCACTCTTCAGTTGGAGCAGCGTGGTGACTAGAGAAGGAGATACATTATTTGTTTGTTTAAACTTGGTGAAAAAGCGTCAGAGATGCTTGTTTTATTTGAAACCGCTGCTGGTTATGCAATATTTAAAGTGAGTATTTAGCTAAAGTTATATTCTAAATTCTAAGAATTTTAGATGGATGCATGACATTTTAAATCATCTAACCGGGTTCGCGTTTTCGCAGTGCAGCTAGCTAGCTATTGCATTAAAATGCAAAGTATTTCGATGTCAAGAACTGTTTCACTTTGTTTAAAGTACCCGTTGGTTCTCTATTCAGGTCGTCGTGGTAGTTCTGGCGTGCAATCCTTATTTTCACTGCAGCTGGGCCTTCTCATCCAACACGCAGTAGTCAAGCAACCACGTTGCATGTGGCAAGTTAACAAGCTACGGATATCTGCTGGATAGCCACGGATACTTTGCTACCTTGGACTGGGCTTCTGGAACTGTGCAACTATTTGAACCCGTTTTGCCGTTTTTAAAGTTGAATTATTTATTTGCTGCCAATGCTTACCCAACAGTTAAAATAGGCTACTCTTCCTAGCCTAGTTAGCATAACTGGTGCGGGGTATTTTGGAAGGACCGCATGCTGGCTTTCTTGCCAGGCTCACCCGTTACTGATCATGACCCAGTTGAGAGGGGTTTGAATGACAACACATGTAAACCGAGTTTAGTTAAATGAAGGTAATTTAAGGAATGCCTGTGTACTTGATAGATCTTTGAACCTTTTTTTGTTCCAGGTCCTCGACGAGTCAAAGCTCCAAGAGGTGGACAGTTTATGGAAGGAGTTCGAAACGCCGGAGAAGGCCAACAAAGTGTGAGTTTTGGCCCCATGTTTGGATAAAGGAGTTTTTAGATTCGATTGAATACGTTGTCAATGATCAATAGTATTACATATTATCAGCATAACGAACATGATTCTGGAGTTGTCAAATAACACGTTGCACCATTTCTCCTTCCAGAGTGAAGTTGAAGCACTTTGAGAAATTCCAGGACACAACAGAGGCTTTGGCAGGTACAGAATCCTTTCCCCTTTCCTGTTGCTCTCACTATAGTCTACCAGGTAGTGCCCATGGAACCAGCTAGTTACACACTAGCAACACTGTTACATTGATGCTGTTGACCCGGATCACTGGTTGCTGCGGAAAAGGAGAAGGTCAAAAGGGGAGTGAGTGAAACCAGTGTGAAATGGCTAGCTAGTTAGCGGTGCGCACTAGTAGCATTTCAATCGGTGACGTCACTTGCTCTGAGACCTTGAAGTAGTTGTTTCCCTTTGCTCTGCAAGGGCCGCTGCTTTTGTGGCGCGACGGGTAACGGTGCTTCGGAGGGTGACTGTTGTCGATGTGTGCAGAGGGTCCCTGGTTCAAGCCCAGGTAGGGGCGAGGAGGGGGACGGAAGCAACACTGTTACACACTCTGCCAGGCAGGGTTAATGCTATTTGTCCATTGTGAGAAGCCGAAGCCAGTATACACTTCCTGCTCTCACTATAGTGTACCAGATCGGTGTGGAAGAACTTGACTGGCCTGCATCAAGTCCTCACCGCAACCCCGTCGAACACCGTTGGGAAGAATTGGAACACCGACTGCGAGCCAGGCCTAATCGCCCAACATCAGTGACCGACCTCACTAATGCTCTTGTGGCTGAATGGAAGCAAGTCCCCGCAGCAATGTTCCAACATCTAGTGGAAAGCCTTCCCAGAAGAGTGTTGTTGTAGCAGCAAAGGGGGGACCAACTCCATATTTAGAGCTGGTGTCCACATACTTTTGGTCATGTAGTGTACCTTCTCTCCTGTCTTCATGTTGGATCTATATCTCTCTCTATAACATACCTTCCCTCTCCTGTGCCCAGCGGCCACTGCCATGACAGAAGGGAAAATGGGGAAGAGTCTGAAGAAGATCCTGAAGAAAGTGGTGGCTAAAGAAGCTCATGAACAGCTGGCCATCAGCGACGCTAAACTGGGAGGCGTGATCAAGGAGAAGTTGAACCTGAGCTGCGTCCACAGCCCTGCGGTGGCTGAACTGATGAGAGGGATCAGGACACAGATGGAGGCCCTGATCACTGGCCTGCCCCCCCGGGAGATCAGCGCCATGTCTCTGGGACTGGCTCACAGGTAGGGTGGATCACACACTGGATTCATTAGGATCTCCATTAGACTAGTCTTATAACGAAAAATACATTAGACTAACACTTTATAATTTACTTCCATTTAAAATCATTAACATGAAGTGTGTTGCCGATGATTATATCTTGCTGTCTGAAACCTGGTGTAGATTTCCTCAGCATTCGTCACTACCCCTGAGGCAACACCTCTGTCATATTCATAAAAGACCTGAAGGGGCTGCTATGGAAGATCCTGATCTGTTTCTGTTTCCAAAGACCTGAAGGGCTGCTATGGAAGATCCTGATCTGTTTCTGTTTCCAAAGACCTGAAGGGCTGCTATGGAAGATCCTGATCTGTTTCTGTTTCCAAAGACCTGAAGGGTTGCTATGGAAGATCCTGATCTGTTTCTGTTTCCAAAGACCTGAAGGGTTGCTATGGAAGATCCTGATCTGTTTCTGTTTCCAAAGACCTGAAGGGGCTGCTATGGAAGATCCTGATCTGTTTCTGTTTCCACAGTTTGTCCCGTTACAAGCTGAAGTTCAGCCCTGACAAAGTGGATACCATGATAGTTCAAGCTATCTGTAAGTACCTCTTAGACCAGGGATGGGCCACAACCTAATGTACCTAGTATTATGGTCTGTCTAGCTCTGTAACTAGTGTTATGGTCTGTCTAGCTCTGTAACTAGTATTATGGTCTGTCTAGCTCTGTAACTAGTATTATGGTCTGTCTAGCTCTGTACCTAGTATTATGGTCTGTCTAGCTCTGTAACTAGTATTATGGTCTGTCTAGCTCTACTAGATGACCTGGACAAGGAGCTCAACAACTACATCATGCGCTGCAGGGAGTGGTACGGTTGGCACTTCCCCGAGGTGGGGAAGATCATCACAGACAACCTGGCCTACTGCAAGAGTGTCCGGAAGATAGGGGCCCGTACCAACGTGGCCACCACGGACCTGTCCGAACATCTACCTGAAGAGGTTGAGGCAGAGGTCAAACTGGCTGCAGAGATCTCCATGGGAACGGAGGTGTCAGAGGAGGACATCGGTAACATCATGCACCTGTGTGACCAGGTGATAGAGATCACAGAGTACCGCACCCAGCTGTACGACTATCTGAAGAACAGGATGATGGCTATCGCTCCCAACCTGACTGTCATGGTGGGGGAACTGGTGGGCGCACGGCTCATCTCCCACGCCGGTGAGTCATGATATAACAGCCAATCACACAGCAGGAATCATTCACAACACAAAACAAGCTGTGATTATGACGACTATATGTCACAATCCTGAAACCTGATGCTTTTCAGTCACTACCTCATCTGAGCTTGTATTGAGACCTCTTACCTGGACACCTGTAGCAGGCAGCTGGAAAGTCCAACTGCTCCTAAATGTTGTGGTTCTCTCTGACAGGGTCCCTGTTGAACCTGGCCAAGCACCCGGCCTCCACAGTCCAGATCCTGGGAGCAGAGAAGGCCCTGTTCAGAGCCCTGAAGACACGCAGGGACACGCCCAAATATGGTCTCATCTACCACGCCTCTCTGGTGGGGCAGACCTCTGCCAAGAACAAGGGCAAGGTGAGGCTTTTGTTCCATCCCAACACTAGAAGTAGAATGTGTCTTCACACTACGGGACTGCTGTCATGTTCCAGGGGTGATACAGTTCTGATCCAGCTTCTTTCTGGCCTCTCAGATCTCCAGGATGCTGGCAGCCAAAGCATCTCTGGCGATCCGCTACGATGCCCTGGGAGAGGACACCAACGCTGAGATGGGAGTTGAGAACCGTGCCAAGCTGGAGGCCAGACTACGCCACCTAGAGGAGAAGGGAGTAAGTAGATCTCTGGTGGAGGCCCAGAACAACCAGACTACATGAGATGCCAAGCAGTGATGATGATGACTAATGTCAACAGTCCTGAAACTACCTGATGCTTTTCAGTCACTACCTCATCTGAGCTTGTATTATTGAACAGTGATATCCTACTAGTCTCACTACTAGTCCCCTACTGTGGTCCCCTACTCTACTAGTTGTATTATTGAACAGTGATATCCTACTAGTCTCACTACTAGTCCCCCTACTGTGGTCCCTTACTTTACTAGTCCCCCTACTGTGGTCCCCTAAATCTACTAGTCCCCTACTGTGGTCCCCTAAATCTACTAGTCCCCTACTGTGGTCCCCTAAATCTACTGGTCCCCTAATCTACTGGTCCCCTACTGTGGTCCCCTAATCTACTAGTCCTCTACTGTGGTCCCCTAATCTACTAGTCCTCTACTGTGGTCCCCTAATCTACTAGTCCCCTACTGTGGTCCCCTAATCTACTGGTCCCCTACTGTGGTCCCCTAATCTACTGGTCCCCTAATCTACTGGTCCCCTACTGTGGTCCCCTAATCTACTGGTCCCCTAATCTACTGGTCCCCTAATCTACTGTGGTCCCCTAATCTACTGGTCCCCTACTGTGGTCCCCTAATCTACTGGTCCCCTACTGTGGTCCCCTAATCTACTAGTCCCCTAATCTACTGTGGGTCCCCTAACTACTGGTCCCCTACTGTGGTCCCCTAAGCTACTAGTCCCCAGTACTGTGGTCCCCTAATCCTACTAGTCCCCTAATCTAAACTGTGGTCCCCTAAATCTACTGGTCCCCTACATGGTGGTCCCCCTAATATACTAGTCCCCTAATCCTACTGTGGCCCACTAATCTTACTAGTCCCCCACTGTGGTCCCCGTAATCTACTAGTCCCCTACTGTGGTTCCCCTAATCTACTAGTCCCCCTACCTACTAGTGTGTATTAATTGAAACAGAGATATCCCAACTATTCCCACCTAGTAGTCCCCTAACTGTGGTCCCCTACGTTCTACCTAGTTGTATTATTGAACAGTGATATCCCACTAGTCTCACTACTAGTCCCCTACTGTGGTCCCCTACTCTACTAGTTGTATTATTGAACAGTGATATCCAACTAGTCTCACTACTAGTCCCCTACTGTGGTCCCTTACTTTACTAGTCCCCCTACTGTGGTCCCTTACTCTACTAGTTGTATTATTGAACAGTGATATCCTACTAGTCCCCCTACTGTGGTCCCTTACTTTACTAGTCCCCTAATCTACTGTGGTCCCCTAATCTACTAGTCCCCTAATCTACTGTGGTCCCCTAATCTACTGGTCCCCTACTGTGGTCCCCTAATCTACTAGTCCCCTACTGTGGTCCCCTAATCTACTAGTCCCCTAATCTACTAGTCCCCCTACTGTGGTCCCCTAATCTACTAGTCCCCTAATCTACTAGTCCCCCTACTGTGGTCCCCTAATCTACTGGTCCCCTACTGTGGTCCCCTAATCTACTAGTCCCCTACTGTGGTCCCCTAATCTACTAGTCCCCTACTGTGGTCCCCTAATCTACTAGTCCCCTAATCTACTGTGGTCCCCTAATCTACTAGTCCCCTAATCTACTGTGGTCCCCTAATCTACTAGTCCCCCTACTGTGGTCCCCTAATCTACTAGTCCCCTAATCTACTAGTCCCCTAATCTACTGTGGTCCCCTAATCTACTAGTCCCCTAATCTACTGTGGTCCCCTAATCTACTAGTCCCCCTACTGTGGTCCCCTAATCTACTAGTCCCCTAATCTACTAGTCCCCCTACTGTGGTCCCCTAATCTACTAGTCCCCTAATCTACTAGTCCCCTACTGTGGTCCCCTACTCTACTAGTCCCCTAATCTACTAGTCCCCTACTGTGGTCCCCTACTCTTATTAGTCCCCTACTCCTCCCCTAATATTGTACTGACCCTGGTTTCTCCCTTCAGATCAGAAGAATCAGTGGAACAGGCAAAGCCATGGCCAAGTCTGACAAATACCAACACAAGAGGTGAGTTACACCTGGAGACTACTGTGTTGTCTAACTAACCTGTCGTGTCTCTGGTAACTAGCCGTCTGTCGTGTCTCTGGTAACTAGCCGTCTGTCGTGTCTCTGGTAACTAGCCGTCTGTCGTGTCTCTGGTAACTAGTCGTGTCTCTGGTAACTAGCCGTCTGTCGTGTCTCTGGATAAGAATTGATCAGAGCATTACTTTTCCCTTTCACGCTGAGTGGTAATCGAAATGGAGAGAGCTGGAAAGATTTTTCAAATACATTGAAGAACTATTGTAATTCTCAATGGATGTAAAAACAGACTTTGTTTTCTTTGAGAAGCTCCACAGGTCATTAGTGGTGGTGCGTTAAGCCAATCAGAAATACTATCAGATCCCCAAATGGGCACATTTATAGGTCTACATTTGAGCGCAGGCCAGGTAGCCTATAGGACCATCCCTGCGGCTTCCGCACTAGGGTTAGCCTCGGCCTCCCCACTAGGGTTAGCCTCGGCCTCCGCACTAGGGTTAGCCTCGGCCTCCGCACTAGGGTTAGCCTCGGCCTCCGCACTAGGGTTGGCCTCGGCCTCCGCACTAGGGTTAGCCTCGGCCTCCGCACTAGGGTTAGCCTCGGCCTCCGCACTAGGGTTAGCCTCGGCCTCCCCACTAGGGTTAGCCTCGGCCTCCGCACTAGGGTTAGCCTCGGCCTCCGCACTAGGGTTAGCCTCGGCCTCCGCACTAGGGTTAGCCTCGGCCTCCGCACTAGGGTTAGCCTCGGCCTCCGCACTAGGGTTGGCCTCGGCCTCCGCACTAGGGTTGGCCTCGGCCTCCGCACTAGGGTTAGCCTCGGCCTCCGCACTAGGGTTAGCCTCGGCCTCCGCACTAGGGTTGGCCTCGGCCTCCGCACTAGGGTTGGCCTCGGCCTCCGCACTAGGGTTAGCCTCGGCCTCCGCACTAGGGTTAGCCTCGGCCTCCCCACTAGGGTTAGCCTCGGCCTCCGCACTAGGGTTAGCCTCGGCCTCCGCACTAGGGTTAGCCTCGGCCTCCGCACTAGGGTTAGCCTCGGCCTCCGCACTAGGGTTAGCCTCGGCCTCCCCACTAGGGTTAGCCTCCGCACTAGGGTTAGCCTTGGCTTCCGCACTAGGGTTAGCCTTGGCTTCCGCACTAGGGTTAGCCTTGGCTTCCGCACTAGGGTTAGCCTTGGCTTCCCCACTAGGGTTAGCCTCCGCACTAGGGTTAGCCTCGGCCTCCCCACTAGGGTTAGCCTCCGCACTAGGGTTAGCCTTGGCTTCCGCACTAGGGTTAGCCTTGGCTTCCGCACTAGGGTTAGCCTTGGCTTCCGCACTAGGGTTAGCCTTGGCTTCCCCACTAGGGTTAGCCTCCGCACTAGGGTTAGCCTCGGCCTCCGCACTAGGGTTAGCCTCGGCCTCCGCACTAGGGTTGGCCTCCGCACTAGGGTTAGCCTTGGCTTCCCCACTAGGGTTAGCCTCCGCACTAGGGTTAGCCTCGGCCTCCGCACTAGGGTTAGCCTCGGCCTCCGCACTAGGGTTGGCCTCCGCACTAGGGTTAGCCTTGGCTTCCCCACTAGGGTTAGCCTCCGCACTAGGGTTAGCCTCGGCCTCCGCACTAGGGTTAGCCTCGGCCTCCGCACTAGGGTTGGCCTCCGCACTAGGGTTAGCCTTGGCTTCCGCACTAGGGTTAGCCTTGGCTTCCCCACTAGGGTTAGCCTCCGCACTAGGGTTAGCCTTGGCTTCCGCACTAGGGTTAGCCTTGGCTTCCCCACTAGGGTTAGCCTCCGCACTAGGGTTAGCCTCGGCCTCCGCACTGAAATGGGAGCGAATCAGAAGGGTGTCTAGTGTTCCACATAAAAAAATATGATTTGCTACTGATCGACTAAAAAACGTCTTGGTCGACTAACGGCCGCCTATCGACCAAACAATCGACCAGTCGACTAATTACCAGCCCTACTGGTAACTAACGTTTTGTCATGTCTATGTTAACATTCTGTCGTGTCTCCATAGTGACGTGAAGGTGTACGACCCCTCCGGAGACTCCACCCTCCCCTCTGTTTCCAAGAAGAGGAAGTTTGAGGAGGTGGAGGAGGAAGAGGTGGTCACACCGGTGGCAGTCAAATCCAAGAAACCCAAGAAAGAACCTGTGGAAGGTCAGTTGAGTCCCTCTTCCATAATACAACATCCTATTTATATAAACACAATTCCTAACATGAGACCCGTTCTCAGCCGCCTATAACACAATCCATAACATGAGACCCGTTCTCAGCCGCCTATAACACAATCCATAACATGAGACCCGTTCTCAGCCGCCTATAACACAATCCAGAACATGAGACCCGTTCTCAGCCGTCTATAACACAATCCAGAACATGAGACCCGTTCTCAGCCGTCTATTCATATAAAATAAAAGAATCTCAGCAGTCTGTATTAAGTTGTCTTGTCTCACGGTGCGTTCTGTTTTCATTCAGAACCAGAGGCGTCAACGGCAGCAGAAGAAACTCCCAAGAAGAAGAAAAAGAAGGCGAGGAAAGCCGAGGCAGCGGAGGAGGCGATGGACGTGAAGGAGGAGGAAGAGGAGGCGACCGTCTCTCCCACAGAGGAAGTACGTAGCAATGCATGATGGGGACATGCTCATCTCAGCTGTTCTGTCTGAACAAACATACTAACCCTATTTCTTGTGATTTTAGTCATCAAAGAAGAAGAAGAAGAAAAAGAAGAAGGTCAAGGAGGAAGAGGGAGAATAATCTGCTTCTGGTTGGGGAGAAACTGTATTATATTAGGACTTTTAGTTGTCGTTGCACATGTATCTACCAGGGCCCTGACTGTCATGTATTAGCCGTTTAAAGGCTAGCGGAGAGAGGAACTGGAGACAGAGGTTATTTCAGAATGACCAGCAGCTGATATGTTATGATTAGGAATGAGACTTAATGATCGTGTAAAAATCCTACTGTGTGGATTTGCGTTTAAGATGACCCTTTTTTAGTATACTGTAACCTAAAGAGCCAATGGATTGTATACAATATCAGCTTGTCAATGTTCATGTTAAAACATTTCATTTCTCCACTGGTTTAACAACATACCATTTTAAAAAGCTGTTTTGATGTCTGTTTCCCACAAGTCTTTGTCCATAACAGTCAACTTCTGCTCTGGTGGATTAAATCGATTTTCTCAGACGATGGTATTTCCCTTCATTCCAGCTATAGTGTTTTCAGACCCCTTTCTACGTTTTGTTACGTTTCAGCCTTATTCTAAAATGGATTAAATCGTTTTTTCCCCCCCTCATCAATCTACACATAATACCCCATAATGACGAAGCAAAAACAAGTTTAAAGATATTTTGCAAATGTATTCAAAATTCAAAACTGAAATATGACATTTACATAAGTATTCAGACCCTTTACTCAGTACTTTGTTGAAGCACCTTTGGCAGCGATTACAGCCTCGTCTTATCTCCAGAGACAGACTGGACCACTCAAGAACATTCAGAGACTTGTCCCGAAGCCACTCCTATGAAGGTGAACCATTGCCCCAGTCTGAGGTCCTGGGTGCTCTGGAGCAGGTTTTCATCAAGGATCTCTTTGTACTTTGCTCCATTCATCTTTCCCTCGATCCTGACTAGTCTCCCAGTCCCTGCCACTGAAAAACATCCCCACAGTATGATGCTGCCACCACCCTGCTTCACCGTAGGGATGGTGCCAGGTTTCTTCCAGACATGACGCTTGGCATTCAGGCCAAAGAGTTCAATCTTGGTTTCATCAGACCAGAGAATCTTGTTTCTCATGGTCTGAGAGTCCTTTAGGTGGCTTTTGGCAAACTCCAAGCGGGTGTTTGAATGTGCCTTTTACTGAAGAGTGGCTTCCGTCTGGCCACTCTGTCTACCGAGTGGCGCAGTGGTCTAAGGCACTGCATCGCAGTGCTAGCTGTGCCACTAGAGATCCTGGTTCGAATCAAGGCTCTGTCGTAGCCGGCTGCGACCGGGAGACCCATGGGGCGGCGCACAATTGGCCCAGCGCCGTCCAGGGTAGGGGAGGGAATGGCCGGCAGGGGATGTAGCTCAGTTGGTAGAGCATGGCGTTTGCAACGCCAGGGTTGTGGGTTCGATAAAATAATGTATGTGCTAACTGTAAGTCGCTCTGGATAAGAGCGTCTGCTAAATGACTTAAATGTAAATGTAAATAAAGGCCTGATTTAGTGGAGTGCTGCAGAGATGGTTCTCCTTCTGGAAGGTTCTCCACAGAGGAACTCTAGAGCTCTGTCAGAGTGACCATCGGGTTCTTGGTCACCTCCCTGACCAAGGCCCTTCTCCCCCGATTGCTCAGTTTGGCCGGGCGGCCAGCTCTAGGAAGAGTCTAGGTGGTTCCAAACTTCTTCCATTTAAGAATGATGGAGGCTACTGTGTTCTTGGGGACCTTCAATGCTGCAGAGATGTTTTGGTACCCTTCCCCAGATCTGTGCCTCGACACAATCCTGTCTCGGAGCTCTACGGACAATTCCTTCGACCTCATAAGCTTGTTTTTTGCTCTGACGTGCACGGTCAACTGTGGGACCTTATATAGACAGGTGTGTGCCTTTCCAAATCATATTCAATCAATTGAATTTACCACAGATGGACTCAAAGCTGTAGAAACATCTCACGGATGATCACTGGAAACAGGATGCACCTGAGCTCAATTTTGAGTTTCATAGCAAAGGGTCTGAATACTTATGTAAATAAGGTATTTCTGGTTTATTATTTGTAATAAATTAGTGAAAATGGCGAAACTGTTTTCGATTTGTCATTATGGGGTTTTGGGTGTAGATTGAGGATTTCTATTTATTTAATCAATTTTAGAGTAAGGCTGTAATGTGGAAAAAGTCCAGGGGTCTGAATAGTTTCCAAATGCAATATACACTGCTCAAAAAAATGAAGGGAACACTTAAACAACACAATGTAACTCCAAGTCAATCACACTTCTGTGAAATCAAACTGTCCACTTAGGAAGCAACACTGATTGACAATAAATGTCACATGCTGTTGTGCAAATGGAATAGACAACAGGTGGAAATTATAGGCAATTAGCAAGACACCCCCAATAAAGGAGTGGTTCTGCAGGTGGTGACCACAGACCACTTCTCAGTTCCTATGCTTCCTGGCTGATGTTTTGGTCACTTTTGAATGCTGGCGGTGCTTTCACTCTAGTGGTAGCATGAGACGGAGTCTACCACACACACAAGTGGCTCAGGTAGTGCAGCTCATCCAGGATGGCACATCAATGCGAGCTGTGGCAAGGTTTGCTGTGTCTGTCAGCGTAGTGTCCAGAGCATGGAGGCGCTACCAGGAGACAGGCCAGTACATCAGGAGACGTGGAGGAGGCCGTAGGAGGGCCGCTACCTCCGCCTTTGTGTAAGGAGGAGCAGGAGGAGTTGAGTGAGTCTCCTGGTGAGTTGAGTCTCCTGAGTGGCGCAGTGGTCTAAGGCACTGCATCGCAGTGCTAGCTGTGCCACTAGAGATCCTGGTTCGAATCCAGGCTCTGTCGCAGCCGGCCGCGACCGGGAGACTCATGGGCGGCGCACAATTGGCCTAGCGTTGTCCAGGGTAGGGGAGGGAATGGCCGGCAGGGGTGTAGCTCAGTTGATAGAGCATGGCGTTTGCAACGCCAGGGTTGTGGGTTCGATTCCCACGGGGGACCAGTTTGGGGAAAAAATAAAAAATATATATATGTATTCACTAACTGTAAGTCGCTCTGGATAAGAGCGTCTGCTAAATGACTAAAATATATGTAAATGTAGGAGCACTGCCAGAGCCCTGCAAAATGACCTCCAGCAGGCCACAAATGTGCATGTGTCTGTTCAAACGGTCAGAAACAGACTCCATGAGGGCCCGACGTCCACAGGTGTGGGTTGTGCTTACAGCCCAACACCGTGCAGGACGTTTGGCATTTGCCAGAGAACACCAAGATTGGCATATTCGCCACTGGCGCCCTGTTCTCTTCACAGATGAAAGCAGGTTCACACTGAGCAGACGTGACAGAGTCTGGAGACGCCGTGGAGAACGTTCTGCTGCCTGCAACATCCTCCAGCATGACCAGTTTGGCGGTGGGTCAGTCATGGTGTGGGGTGGCATTTCTTTGGGGGGCCGCACAGCCCTCCATGTGCTCGCCAGAGGTAGCCTGACTGCCATTAGGTACCGAGATGAGATCCTCAGACCCCTTGTGAGACCATATGCTGGTGCGGTTGGCCCTGGGTTCCTCCTAATGCAAGACAATGCTAGACCTCATGTGGCTGGAGTGTGTCAGCAGTTCCTGCAAGAGGAAGGCATTGATGCTATGGACTGGCCCGCCCGTTCCCCAGACCTGAATCCAATTGAGCACATCTGGGACATCATGTCTCGCTCCATTCACCAACACCACGTTGCACCACAGACTGTCCAGGAGTTGGCGGATGCTTTAGTCCAGGTCTGGGAGGAGATCCCTCAGGAGACCATCCGCCACCTCATCAGGAGCATGCCCAGGCGTTGTAGGGAGATCATACAGGCACGTGGAGGCCACACACACTACTGAGCCTCATTTTGACTTGTTTTAAGGACATTACATCAAAGTTGGATCAGCCTGTAGTGTGGTTTTCCACTTTAATTTTGAGTGTGACTCCAAATCCAGACCTCCGTGGGTTGATCAATTTGATTTCCATTGATAATTTTTGTGTGATTTTGTTGTCAGCACATTCAACTATGTAAAGAAAAAAGTATTTAATAAGATTATTTCATTCATTCAGATCTAGGATGTGTTATTTTAGTGTTCCCTTTTTGGGCAGTGTATATGAAACTGACAGACAGACCTGGGGTTAGGGGGTGAGACTGAGCCTGGGGTTAGGGGGTGAGACTGGGGTTAGGGGGTGAGACTGAGCCTGGGGTTAGGGGGTGAGACTGGGGTTAGGGGGTGAGACTGAGCCTGGGGTTAGGGGGTGAGACTGAGACTGGGGTTAGGGGGTGAGACTGAGCCTGGGGTTAGGGGGTGAGACTGGGGTTAGGGGGTGAGACTGGGGTTAGGGGGTGAGACTGAGCCTGGGGTTAGGGGGTGAGACTGGGGTTAGGGGGTGAGACTGGGGTTAGGGTGTGAGACTGAGCCTGGGGTTAGGGGGTGAGACTGAGCCTGGGGTTAGGGGGTGAGACTGAGCCTGGGGTTAGGGGGTGAGACTGAGCCTGGGGTTAGGGGGTGAGACTGAGCCTGGGGTTAGGGTGTGAGACTGAGCCTGGGGTTAGGGGGTGAGACTGAGACTGGGGTTAGGGGGTGAGACTGGGCCTGGGGTTAGGGGGTGAGACTGAGCCTGGGGTTAGGGGGTGAGACTGAGCCTGGGGTTAGGGGGTGAGACTGGGGTTAGGGGGTGAGACTGGGGTTAGGGGGTGTGACTGGGGTTAGGGGGTGAGACTGGGGTTAGGGGGTGAGACTGAGCCTGGGGTTAGGGGGTGAGACTGGGGTTAGGGGGTGAGACTGGGGTTAGGGTGTGAGACTGAGCCTGGGGTTAGGGGGTGAGACTGAGCCTGGGGTTAGGGGGTGAGACTGAGCCTGGGGTTAGGGGGTGAGACTGAGCCTGGGGTTAGGGGGTGAGACTGAGCCTGGGGTTAGGGGGTGAGACTGGGGTTAGGGTTAGGGGGTGAGACTGAGCCTGGGGTTAGGGGGTGAGACTGGGGTTAGCCGGTGAGACTGGGGTTAGGGGGTGAAACTGGGGTTAGGGGGTGAGACTGATTCTGGGGTTAGGGTGTGAGACT